AGCATAATAGTAATACACAGTGATGCTCAACCATCGAATGCATGAAGTAGAGCTACATGCTCTTACAAAACAACTTTCTCATTTCCATTTTATCCACGCCATGGCCCCTGTACTCCGCAACCTCTCGAAGAAGAAATTGGGCCGACCCAAAAAGCGCCTGCCCCGAACCTGCCCATCCTGCAAGGTCACCTTTAGCTCCGACTAAGCTAAAGAACCATTTAAACCGTCAACGCGGATGCGGTATCAAGGCCGTAGCTCTTCAAAAGGCAAAAAGAAAAGAAGCGAACCGGTATTACAGAAAGGTAAATTCAATTAAAAAAGAATTAGACAAGGTGGAGATGTGGGATTTTGAGTGCGACGGCTCTAGTGATGACGCTTTGGGCGACGAGGCCATGGAAAAGCCTAAGTAGAGGTTGTTTTGGAGACAACTTGTCCACTGCCAAGGGATTGGCTCAGTTAGACTGGACGCAGGTAGTAGATCTTCGCTAGAGTGATATTGAGTGTAGCATGATAGAAGTACTATTACCTATTTGGAAGTGGTAATATTAGAATATCATTTACTACAGGTTGTTCTGTGATTCCCACACGCATGACGTGGTTGTGAGCAAATTAATGCGAGTCACCTTCCAGCTTCCGTCAACTCCGTTGACATTGATAGCAAACGGGCACTCAATTTCGTCATAGGAGGTGTTCTTGTCGAAGAATTGCTGACCATTCAGCTTTTTGCAGACATACTTTGCATTTCCACTATCGTTTGCCTTGCTACTGAAGCTTTTGACAAACAACTGAAAGCCGGACGATTGAGCAAGTTTTTTGCAGCGTTCTTGAATTGCCTTTTGAGATCCGTTAGTCTCGATCCCGATGTTCTCTCGCCGCTGGTACGCCACACTGTAGTTGCTCTTGCTACAGTCTGTCACTCCAAATGGTACATCTTGTCTCAACAAGCCAAGCGACCTGGCCATATCCAGCTCTGACACGTTCACCACGAAAGGAGCCGACCCGAAAGTGCGAGCTTTTCGTGTTCGAGAGCGGAGCATTCGGTCATTGTGTGCCTCGTGGAACTAACGAGCTGGTGAGAGGAAACAGAGAAATGGGCTTGTAGTAGTGAGAAACGAATGCACGACGACAACAATAGAAAACCAAGTCAACGTCTGTTGAGTGCCGTTGAATTTCCATATTAGATTAAAAAAAATGTTGTTAGCATGCGCATCATATGTAGAATACTATACTATTTAATTTGAATATGAAATGAAGTACTATTTCATAACTACTGAGATTCGCTGACAATAGCAGTATTTACAAATCAAATCACCCGATCTCAGTAGTAACTACTGACTTATGAAAATTGCTCATTGCCGACTTCGACGAAGTCGGCACAGCCGGCGCTGAGGAGCAATATGAAGGAGCTGAAAATCTTCTTATCGGCGACGAGCAAAGCGAATTGCGCCGTGGTCCACGCCGTCCCACGTTCATGTGAGTAACGATGCGTGTCTCACTGGGAAACTCTCACTGTGCCGCCAGACATCTTAGTAAGAAGTGTAAGAACATGTACAGTATACTGTACCACGATACTCGTAAATTGCAGTGCCAGTCGAGCCTTTTGCAATGATTCCAGTGGCACCGTACATGTACCGTATGACAAGCACAAAATGTACGTTTTATTATAATTGTGGCCCCCAACCTGTCGTGGCATGTGGCTTTGTTTAGTCATGCAGTACATGTATCCTCGGAGGATAGGAGTTCCCGTAAGCTTATCGTGACCATCCCGTCACGCATAAAGTGTACATGTACCATGTGTTCCACGGTTTTAATACACAAAACTCTGCTGTACAGAACTACAACTGTACGCAACAGTAGAGTTGGCCGGTTATGTAACGCTTTGAGCAAAAGAGTCAGGTTTGAGCTCTTTTGCGATACGTTTCGCAGTTCAGGGTGCTTCCTTCATTTTCCGATTTCAAGTATGCGGGCCAGCTTCGTCGTGTGTCTCGTATCAACAATAATCTACGCAGTGTGCGGTGCATACTCGGGAGAAACGAGTGCAAGTTCGGTCAAAATCTCGGAAGCACGCATAGCATCTCGCGACGGTGGGCGATTCGATAGTGACAACCAGAAAAGGCAATTGCGCTCTCGAGATGCTGATGGGGCACAGAGGCAACTCAAAACGTGGAGGTCAGCTGGCGAAAGAGTTATTGAATGGGTAAGAAAAGGAAAACAGCTAGAAGACGTGAAGGATACGATGTTGGTGACAAGTGCAATGGACAAGCTCGACCCGAAGCTACGTTTGTACAAGAAATTCGGGAATGCGCTGCTGAAGGACGGCGAACCAAAACACCTGTACAAGAAGTGGGAGCAGTCAAAGTGGGATAAGCTTTTAGGCTGTCTGCAGCCGCCTTGTGTCGCTCCGTAAGCTGGAGTCTCTTGATACGGGAGCGTCGTCATATTTTCTTGTACTGTTCCGGTCGTGCTCTTCTTCGGGTGCATGGAGATGCTCATTTCGCAAACAGTCTGAGCAATACGAGGAGGAAGTTTTCGCGGATTTTGTTTGCTTGAGGAAGAGCTTTTTGGAGTGCTTTAAGAAAACTAATAAGACGTTTGTAAAGGAAAAATAAAGTTGCTTTGCAGAACTAATGTTGAAATGCCTCGAATGAACAGGTGATAAGACTAATTACAGCACTGCAAGGAACAGGCGGATCCTCTGTTTTCCTTATCTTGACCGAAGGTGTGCGCGGTCCTTCCGCTGGAAAAAAGCTAATAATGAAAGCCACGGCATCACATTGAAGAACACTTCGTGGGAACACATACGCTTGCCTGTCTATCTTAAATATCCTTACTTGATTGAAACGCCAGTGTGCGTGTTTTACTCGTTTTTTATTTATAAAAACAAAATCGATTTAAACTGCGCACTAGGCCAGCTCGATGTAACTGGTAAAGAGAGCTTGTAGTGTCGATGCTGCAACCTCTGAAAGACGACATTAAAAGGGGCTGTTTCACAAGAATGACCGCAAGGCAGACTTGTGTCACCATGTCTGCGCCGACGTCGTCTATACTATAGAATCTTAATCATAAGACGCCATTGGAAAGCTGATCCTGCGCATCAGATTCCTGTCAAACTTAATATCCCTTTTGCAATCTGCTTCATTGCATTTTCTTTTCCAAACTTCTCAACGAAAGCAGCCCCTAACTGGTCGCGAAAATTAAAACTACAAGAATTTAACATTTCAGTTTTTCTTCCATAGCGCTTCGTTTAAATAATATATTGGTATACTTAAGGCATGCTTGCTGCTGCTATAAATACAATACACCACATTACACGATTAACCTGGAGTGCGATGGAAAGCTTTACATATTGGGAATTTGAGGTAGCGGTGAAATGAAGAGTTGGAGTTATACAAGGTACTTCTGGTTTGTATGTTTACCCTGGAGTACATGGTTTGGAGCACACAGGGGTACGGAGTACCCGGAGACTTTACAAGGCCTCTCAGTACGTTGGCTGAAAGCCACACGTCATGCATTTGTTTAGATTTAACTATGCTAGATAGCTAAATAAATACATATACCTAGACGGCTTGGACGCAAAAATCGTAAATAAAATATTTCTGGTTTTAAAGCATAAAGTTACGGTATTAGTTTTGAGCCTTGTTCGTGGGCTGTAAGTGTCCTCCGGATATGGAACTTAGTACTAGTGACTCTTTAATGGACCATCTTCTTCTAGTGCTAAAGCTACAACATCCCTGCTGCACTTGGTAGCACTTGTATTCAATCCCATTCCTGAGTCGGTTATTTGCATCCTCTGCGAGAATAGAGCACCCGGTGTCCGCGAATCTGCCTTCGGCGCAGCAGGACGCGCTTACAAAAGTTATGTCCTTGTTTGGCCAAAAGGGCGCTACTCGTCTTGCGTCGCAAGGTCCATGGGCGTTTACCGCCAGGCTGGAATCGCTCTCGTAGCACGAGAGCGCGCTTTTGGAGAATGACCAATATAAGATGAGCGTCGCGACGACTGCGGCGTCAATGACGCGTGACGGGTCTGTGCGACCGAAGCTGCTCATGGTGAGCGTGAAGACTCTCAAAAGGAAGGATGAAGATAATCTACTTCTTTGGACACATGAGGTCGACATGCTCATGGGATCGACCCTGCTCCAGTCTGAGCAACGCCGCGTAATGCTGGTAATGTTAAAACTTGGAGGTCGCGCTCGCAGTGGGCACTCCCGTGTGTGACACGTATGTTGACGCTGCATTTTCCACTTTGGATCCGCTGAAGCAGCAGCTGTGTGACACGTATGTTGACGCTGCATTTTCCACTTTGGATCCGCTGAAGCAGCAGCTTTTGCACCGCCAAGTCAGGCGTACCGTATTCGATCGAAGCTCCTTGCTACCCGACAGGGTAAGAAGGAGTTGTTGGACTACGACCAAGGGCTAAGAGCTCTTATCGTCTCAATGGCGGCGGATCCTCTTTCGGAACTGGTCATCGTGACCGTGTTTATGGAGCAACTTCGCGTGAGCGCTGCTCGAACGGAAGTATTCCGTGTACATCTAACTCTTTTGAAGAGGCGTAAATGTGGCATTAAATGCCGAGTACAGCTTCAGGTTGGCTCCATATGGCTGGAGCGCTGACAGCGCGAGCTCTTCGATCGGGCCGAGCCCGAAGGACTTCAGCTATGTTGAAGACGGAAAAGCGGATCTCCTTGCTGCGGAGCGGCGCGTCAGCATCCGCCGATGTTTTATGCCCAATAGCACTAAGCACTTGACGGCTTTTTGCCCTCTGCGCAAGAAGCGCGAGGCTCCAGCGAGCCAACCCTTTAGGTCATCGCCAGGAAACGACAGCTCCCGTAGGCGTGGAGCAGTCTACTGGGGAAGAGCTGAGTTATGTTGTGTCTCGAGGAGGTCGAGGAGGTCGAGGTCAAATGTGCCAGTCTCCAAGTGAGCTGGCCTTTCTTCGAAGAAGCGTGTGTGTAAGCCGGGCTGGCTGGTCGCTCGGGCAAACGCGAAGGGATTTGAAAAACCGTGGAGAGTCTTAATTAGCTCGGGGCCCTCGGACAACTACGTCCGTTGCTTCGCCCTGAAAGGAAGTCAGCAGTATGATGAGGCACTGTAAACGCCAGCGATATTTATAATCTCTGTCCGTCTCGCGACGGGGACACTAGTAGCTGTGTCGAAGGTCTCCGTTGACCTTAATGTGAAGCTCAAGAGCTTCAATAGCTAAAACGCTGGGTGGTCTAAGATCTGGATGCGAGGTATGACATGGCTGGAGCGCCACGAGCCATGGATCGACGGGAGGTCTAAAACTATGGCGCTACGCAATCTACTCCTAGTGGATATTTGGTGAGTCATGATCCCATCTCTGCTAGGAAGCAGAAGTGCTTTTGCGCGAGCACGAGGCCGAGGCGGCCGTAGTGCTGGACGTTGATATGTTAGAACTTGTTAGCCACGAGGCTGATGTTTGCCCTGAGGGAGTACGTGATGTGGCACGTTATCCGCTGAGCGGTGCATGTCAATGACCAGCTGCTAGGTCCTGGTGAGGACGAACGCGGAGTTGTGTGCAATCGACTGAGTGGTACGGATCCGGTCGAGGGTCTACCGCTGCGTGACCCAAGGGCCGCGGTCGACTGCGTGGTCGTAGTCCAGGAGATGCAGTGGAAGCGACACCTAGTTCACGGTGGGCTGGTCAAGGATCACTTGGCTCTCAGCCGAGTGGCTTGCGAGACAATGTCTCCTCTTCGAGGAGTGATGGTGCTGCTGCACCCGGAGGTGGTGACGGGGGTATCGCCGCATCGCTCTCATCCAGTCAGGCACGGTCGCGGAGGAGAGAAGAAGAAGACGCAGGGCGTCTGTGACGTCTTCGACGTCGGACGAGGTTTCCCCCGTGACGAGCGGTGAGGCTCTACGTGATTGCTGTGAACATCTGCACACACTCGAAAATGGTGTGGCGGAAGAGGGGGGGGTCGAAGGCGACATCAGCCTTGACGCATTGTCCGCTGTGGATGCTCCGCTAGCGCTGAACGAGCTGTCCGTTGCCAAGTTTAGCGAACCTTGAAGGCAGGTGAGCTAGCCGATGAGGTCCTACTCCTCATCTGCGTGGACAACGCAGTTCTAGAGGACACCAAGAAGGCGTTGAAGGCAATAAGTGGAACGGCGATCCTAAAAGATTATTCGGACCCCTTCACCCTTGTGGTGATGGAGGCGAGACGCTGTCTCGAAGGACCTACGGACGGGTCAGCCTCCGGATCGAGATGTGTGTCGTGCGATCGACCTGGTTCCTGGAGCTAAATACTGCGTGACAAGGCAATGGTCCTTGTCAAGAGAGTAATATGACGTCATTGACGCATTCTTCCGTGCGAAGTACGAGGCAGGGCTGGTACGTGAGAGCATGTCTCCACCCTCGACACCCACGTAGAAATCTGAACGGCAAGAGACGTATTGTCCTTGCTTTCAATAAGCTGAATGCGGCCGTCATTCCAGCGCAGACGCGATTCTTCGCAAGGATGTTACGCAGAACAACATAATAGGCTGTACGATGTACAGCGCACTCGACTTGGTCGATGGCTACTACTAATTGTTCATGAGAGCGAGCGATAGTCCGCTGACAGCGATGAGTACTCAAAGCGGTATGTCGGGGAGAGGATGGTCATGCCCCAGGGGCTATCGAACGCATTAGCAACGTTCAACCGTCTCGCGACGCAGTTGTTCACGCCCCATCCATAGTCGTGCTGAGCAGGGAGAGTCAGACGAGGAGAACCACATGGACCATTTGCGAGCGGTGCTCGAGTCCATGCGCACTAATAAGTTGTGTGCCAGCTTGAACAAGTGCGTCTTTGGAGCGAAGGTGTAACGGGCCAGGTTTTTACTCCGTTACTTGCTTACACTATAGTGTTGAGGAAGCGTGCAATAGGACGACTGAGTCTTAGGTTTAAGGAAAAATCAACTGTGGCTTCATTTAAGGACCAAGGCCACAGCCCTGTCCACTCAAAAACACGTCATAGTCCAATTGGTTAATAATGGGTCTGGCTCCCCATATATCAGCCAATGACATGACAGCATTTCAGCACACGCTAGTCGTGTGCCGATGCATCTACTTATGTAAGGAAATTGACCTACTTATGTAATGGAGGGGCTTATTTCATTACCCCCCCCCTCTTATAGTTGCACTTACGCAACATAAGCAGTGGGAGAAGAACAAATCAATCTCAGTGAGGAATGCGAACGGGGACTTGGTGAATGGGCGGAGCAAAACGGAGTCGGAGACATCTCCTGCGAAGCGCAGGAGCAACATAGCTCAGCTTGCGGAGAGCTTGACAAGCAACACGATGTATCAGCAGCGGACGGGAACACCGACGACGGCGACGTCGTCGACAGCAGCGGCACGCAGCACGCGCGTGATGAGCGACCAGCCCTCTCCGGGCATGGGCTCTC